AGTTCACAGTCGGCGTGATAACTTCTGCAGATCATTAACTCCAAGTGGTTGAGATGTACATCATATGTACACAATGATAAACTTAATACACACTGAATAATGCTAGATAACAGCAACACCAGACAACCTTAACTGATAATTGGTATTTAAGGGAGGTAGGTAGTGGGGGGGGGGGGTGTAGGGGGGTGGTAACGTAAGTCTGAGTTTATGTGTACTCACTAGTTGTGCTTGCGGGGGTTGAGCTCTGGCTCTTTGGTCCCGCCTTTCAATCGTCAATCAACAGGTGTACAGGTTCCTGAGCCTATTGGGCTCTGTCATATCTACACTTGAAACTGTGTATGGAGTCAGCCTCCACCACATCACTGCCTAATGCATTCCATTTGTCTACCACTCTGACACTAAAAAAGTTCTTTCTAATATCTCTGTGGCTCATTTGGGCACTCAGTGTGTGTGTGTGTGTGTGTGTGTGTGTGTGTGTGTGTGTGTGTGTGTGTGTGTGTGTGTGTGTGTGTGTGTGTGTGTGTGTGTGTGTGTGTGTGTGTGTGTGTGTGTGTGTGTGTGTGTGTGTGTGTGTGTGTGTGTGTGTGTGTGTGTGTGTGTGTGTGTGGCTGTACATTAACGTGTACGTACGGGTCCGTGTATGTACTCGCCTAAACACGCGTGCTAGGTGGAGCAGCGGCTGCTTGCTCGATTTTCCAAATATTCTTAATTTATTGCACAGAATCATTCCCCCACGTTTTTTCCTTGTCGAATTTACATGTTAAACTTGTTCATTGAGTTAACTTCTACACATTCCAATGACTCTTAACACCAAGTTTCTTTTGGTATCTCTCTCTCATTTGTCTCTTGGCTTCCATGTCCCTACGTTCCGCTGATCCCAGCTTGGAAGAACGCTTCTTTGTTTACTTTGTCGCGCGCGCATGCGTTCATGCGCGCGCGTGTGTGTGTAGCAAGAAGGCATTCTAAAGATACAAAGTATCTTTAGAATGCCTTGAGTGAGTGAGGTTCCCATCTGACTCGCAAAACACCTACGAATTAACTCCCCTTTTCCATCTCCAAATACACACGCGCACACAAACAACCCATCCACACATACAAACACATGCATATGTATATATATACACATCCACTCGCAGCTCACATATGCATACAGGCGCACCTACTGCCTCCATTGTCTTGCCGCCACACTGAGGAGGTCCAGACGGCCGTCTTACACCAACCACCCAGCCTCTTGTCCTCTACGTAACAGCCAGTGTATCTTTAATTGGTTTACAGGCTATTCATGCCCGTGCCACCCATTGGGTGGCTTAATCTCTATCAATTAATCTTTAATTGGTGTAGTGCAGTGAAAATAGCTTACAGAAGATAGCTTATTGATAGAAATATATTTGAATCGAGCCTAATTGGATCAGTGGAAAATACTTTAAATGCAAGATATAACTTGTATAAAATTGATCAATATTTTGTTTAAGATCGATTCAAGGACTAACGAAATTATTGAAAATGTCTTTTGATGTCCAGCAACTAGGAGGCCTGGTCGGAGACCGGGCCGCGGGGGCGTTAAACCCCGAAATCATCTCAAAGTAGCTTCATGGTAACCTCAAGTTAACCCATGTGTCATCTTGAGACGTTGGGCGAGATAAGTCTCAGACAGACTATTGTATACATATAGATTGTTTACAACTACTTTTGTGTTTTGACAGTGAACAGACTGTTAGTATATACATGTTGACCAACTATATTACTAGTTCATCAATGCTGTAACTTGCTCAGCTAAATGAACTTTGGGGTTCAGTTCCCGACCCCATTATGTGCCTCTATAACCTTTACCACTACCACACACACGTTCATTTATTATGAACAAAGTTCATAACAAATGAACTAAGCTAACTTCAGCGTTGATAAAACTCTGCAGCAACTTGATTTGATTTGTAACAAAAAAAGCCTTGAGTGGGTCCTTTACAGTCATTGAACTGCCGCCTTAGTCTAGTGATAAGACTCATTTTCAGTCCAACTGTTCTGCCCATACTACCAAGCCTGGCCCTGGTCGAGCCTGGCCCTGGTCGAGCCTGGCCCTGGTCGAGCCTGGCCCTGGTCGAGCCTGGCCTCAGGCCGGGCTCGGGGAGTAGAACAACTCCCAGAACCCTCCCCAGGTATACCATGACTTTTATTACAACAAAGTCTTGTACTGTCCCTTCACTCCGTCCTCACATCTCAGCTCCTTGTTCTCGTATCCTTTCCAGGTCCCATTGGTTATGTTTGGTGCTTCTCCTCATAATTATCACAAGATAAACAACTTTAACGTGACTTTTCCTGCCTACAATTGGAAACTAAATGAGATTTAGTTCGTAAAAAATGTGAAACGGGAGAGCGGAGATAAGGCCGCCATCAGCCTGCTGCTGATTGGTCGGAGTGGGTGATGGAACACGTCCAGTACTGGGCACTCCCACCTGCTGCCACCCTGTTGACCAACCACCACAAGAGCTGACAGTAAACAACCACCACAAGAGCTGACAGTAAACAACCACCACAAGAGCTGACAGTAAACAACCACCACAAGAGCTGACAGTAAACAACCACCACAAGAGCTGACAGTAAACAACCACCACAAGAGCTGACAGTAAACAACCACCACAGAGCTGACAGCTGACAGTAAACAACCACAAGAGCTGACAGTAAACAACCACAAGAGCTGACAGTAAAGCTGACAGTAAACAACCACAAGAGCTGACAGTAAACAACCACCACAAGAGCTGACAGTAAACAACCACCACAAGAGCTGACAGTAAACAACCACCACAAGAGCTGACAGTAAACAACCACCACAAGAGCTGACAGTAAACAACCACCACAAGAGCTGACAGTAAACAACCACAAGAGCTGACAGTAAACAACCACAAGAGCTGACAGTAAACAACCACCACAAGAGCTGACAGTAAACAACCACCACAAGAGCTGACAGTAAACAACCACCACAAGAGCTGACAGTAAACAACCACCACAAGAGCTGACAGTAAACAACCACCACAAGAGCTGACAGTAAACAACCACCACAAGAGCTGACAGTAAACAACCACCACAAGAGCTGACAGTAAACAACCACCACAAGAGGTGACAGTAAACAACCACCACAAGAGCTGACAGTAAACAACCACCACAAGAGCTGACAGTAAACAACCACCACAAGAGCTGACAGTAAACAACCACCACGTGGATGGAAGGAAGCCCTTCCCAGAGCAGACATCCCCCCCCCCCCCTCCCCCCCCCCCACCAACAAATCTTGGCACAGATCCAAACACTTAAAACTCACGTCACCCCGCATGTTTGGAAGCACGGAGGGCGAGTCCCACCACTCACCACCACCAACCAAACATACCAACACTGCATTATGCAAATGTTTTCCCGGTAGCTTAGAGGAATAGGTTGTTGTCCCCCCTCCCCCCTCCTCCCTGATGGCCAACCCGGTCCCCCTTGGTTCATGTACCACCAATCATACTTGCCTATCACTCTACCTATCACCCTACCTATCAGCATACTTGCCTATCACTCACTGTCTGTGAGTGAGTACGGGGAGGTGAGGTCCAGCGCTCTGTCTCCCCCCCCCCCCCACCAACTAGCCTGGTTGATACCTGGTCGATACCTGGTTGATGTTGTACCGTGTTGCAGGTAGCCTGCAACTTGGAGCCTAACTTGGTAGCCTAACTTGGAGCCTTGTGGTACACTAGCCTGTGTGGAATTTAATTCAAGATTGAGTCGATTTTTTTCATTAAGATATTTCTTATTATAAGCTTTAATAAATTGACGTTAATATTGTATTACGAATATATAAATACTGTCAAGTATGACACTGCAAAGGTTGACACGAAGCTGTGACTAGTATGTTTGTCTATATCTGAGATAAGAATGAGAAAGAGCAGTGGGGCAAGGACTGTGCCCTGGGGTACAGAGCTTTACACCGCACTTGGACTTCATCTTGTTTAACTGACTGTTACTCTCTGCCTTCTGTTTGACAGAAAGTTGAAATCCAACGCTCCACTTTACTCGTTATTCCAATAGATCTTATTTCATGGGCAATCACTCCCATGGTCACACGTGTCGAATGCCTTTTGCAAAGTCTGTGTATACACAACATCTGCATTTTGCTTTTCTTCTAAAGCTTCCGTGGTTTTTGTCAGAAACAATGGGCAGAGTTTCTTTCACCCTATGCCCCTGTTACCTAGCAGTAAATAGGTACCTGGGTGTTAGTCAGCTGTCACGGGCTGCTTCCCTGGGGTGGAGGCCTGGTCGAGGACCAGGCCGCGGGGACTCTAAAAAGCCCCGAAATCATTTCAAGATAACCTCAAGATTGTCTCAGTGGTTGAGTAATTGTGCCAGCCAGGCTCTTCCCCCTCTAAATCCATGTTATCCTGGGTGGTGAAGTTCATTGTTTTCCATAAAACTGGAGATGATTCCTAATCACCCTTTCAAAACCTATCAACGTGTGTGTGATGTTTGAGCAACTGGCCAATAGTTTTTGCTAAGGCTTTATTTACTACCTCCCTTACCTTGAGGTTACCTTGAGGTGCTTCCGGGGCTTAGTGTCCCTGCGGCCCGGTCGTCGACCAGGCCTCCTGGTTGCCGGACTGATCAACCAGGCTGTTAGACGCGGCTGCTCGCAGCCTGACGTATGCCCGACATATGCGTATCCCTTGTGTAGTGTCTGCTGGAACACCAGAGTTTACCAGGCCTGACTAACTCTCACTTCACCCCCATGTAACTAAAGACTTACTGTACTGGCTTCAAGTCCAACATAAGCATGCTTGTGAACGGGAAAGCCGCAGCCTGAGCTCCTTATACGAGAGTGAACCAACAAGACGTTGCTATACTTAGCAAACCCAAAACCTGTTGATCCAGTCCGCACAAAGGTCAGAGCTCCACGATGCCCGGGACCCCATCGGCACAGTCAACACACTGGTACAAGGACCCCACATAGTCAACAACACACCAACATTGGGTAAAGCATGCCACTGAACAAGGACCTGGCATTAGAACAACCACAAGAACCACCCAACGACCACCAAGAACCACCCAGAGACCATCAAGAACCACCCAGAGACCATCAAGAACCACCCAGAGACCACCAAGAACCACCCAGAGACCACCAAGAACCACCCAGAGACCATCAAGAACCACCCAGAGACCATCAAGAACCACCCAGAGACCATCAAGAACCACCCAGAGACCACCAAGAACTACCCAGAGGCATCATGAACCACCCAGAGACCACCACGAACTATCCAGTGACCATCAAGTATCATCCCAGAGGCGTTAAGAACCATCCCAGAGGGGTTAAGAACCACCCAGAGGCGTTAAGAACCACCCCAGAGGCGTTAAGCACCACCCAGAGGCGTTACGAACCACCCCAGAGGCGTTAGGAACCACCCAGAGGCGTTAAGAACCACCCAGAGGCGTTACGAACCACCCCAGAGGCGTTACGAACCACCCAGAGGCGTCAAGAACCACCCCAGAGGCGTCAAGAACCACCCCAGAGGCCACCCAGAGGCGTTAAGAACCACCCAGAGGCGTTAAGAACCACCCAGAGGCGTTAAGAACCACCCAGAGGCGTTAAGAACCACCCAGAGGCGTTAAGAACCACCCAGAGGCGTTAAGAACCACCTCAGAGGCGTTAAGAACCACCCAGAGGCGTTAAGAACCACCCAGAGGCGTTAAGAACCACCCCAGAGGCGTTAAGAACCACCCAGAGGCGTCAAGAACCACCTCAGAGGCGTCAAGAACCACCCAGAGGCGTCAAGAACCACCCCAGAGGCGTTAAGAACCACCCAGAGGCGTTAAGAATCACCCAGAGGCGTGAAGAACCACCCAGAGGCGTCAAGAACCAGGCGTTAAGAACCCAGAGGCGTTCAAGAACCACCCCAGAGGCGTCAAGAACCACCCAGAGGCGTCAAGAACCACCCAGAGGCGTTAAGAACCACCCAGAGGCGTCAAGAACCACCCCAGAGGCGTCAAGAACCACCCAGAGGCGTTAAGAACCACCCAGAGGCGTCAAGAACCACCCAGAGGCGTCAAGAACCACCCAGAGGCGTCAAGAACCACCCAGAGGCGTCAAGAACCACCCAGAGGCGTCAAGAACCACCCAGAGGCGTCAAGAACCACCCAGAGGCGTCAAGAACCACCCAGAGGCGTCAAGAACCACCCAGAGGCGTCAAGAACCACCCAGAGGCGTCAAGAACCACCCAGAGGCGTCAAGAACCACCCAGAGGCGTCAAGAACCACCCAGAGGCGTCAAGACACCACCCCAGAGGCGTCAAGAACCACCCAGAGGCGTCAAGAACCACCCAGAGGCGTCAAGAACCACCCCAGAGGCGTTAAGAACCACCCAGAGGCGTTAAGAACCACCCAGAGGCGTCAAGAACCACCCCAGAGGCGTCAAGAACCACCCCAGAGGCGTCAAGAACCACCCAGAGGCGTCAAGAACCACCCAGAGGCGTCAAGAACCACCCAGAGGCGTCAAGAACCACCCCAGAGGCGTCAAGAACCACCCAGAGGCGTCAAGAACCACCCAGAGGCGTCAAGAACCACCCAGAGGCGTCAAGAACCACCCAGAGGCGTCAAGAACCACCCAGAGGCGTCAAGAACCACCCCCAGAGGCGTCAAGAACCACCCAGAGGCGTCAAGAACCACCCAGAGGCGTCAAGAACCACCCAGAGGCGTCAAGAACCACCCAGAGGCGTCAAGAACCACCCTGAGGCGTCAAGAACCACCCAGAGGCGTCAAGAACCACCCTGAGGCGTCAAGAAACACCCAGAGTCGTCAAGAACCACCCTGAGGCGTCAAGAACCACTCCGAGGCGTCAAGAACCACCCCAGGCGTCAAGAACCACCCCAGAGGCTCAAGAACCACCCAGAGGCGTCAAGAACCACCCAGAGGCGTCAAGAACCACCCAGAGGCGTCAAGAACCACCCAGAGGCGTCAAGAACCACCCAGAGGCGTCAAGAACCACCCAGAGGCGTCCCCCCCCAGAGGCGTCAAGAACCCCTCACCCCTTCAGAAGCTATCCACCCCTCACCCCTTCCTATCCTCCCCTCACTCAAGAACCACCCATCCTCCTCACCCCCCCCACCTCCACGTCCTCCCTCACCCCCCCCACCATCCTCCCACCCCCCCCCCCCACCATCCTCCCTCACCCCCCCCCCCCCACCATCCTCCCTCCCCCCCCCCCCCACCACCTCCCTCCCACCCCCCCCCCCACCATCCTCCCTCACCCCCCCCCCACCATCCTCCCTCACCACCCCCCCCACCATCCTCCCTCACCCCCCCCCACCATCCTCCCTCACCCCCCCCCACCATCCTCCCTCACCCCCCCCACCATCCTCCCTCACCCCCCCCCCCTCCCTCACCCCCCCCACCATCCTCCCTCACCCCCCCCACCCTCCCTCCCCCCCCCCCCACCATCCTCCCTCACCCCCCCTCCCGTTTGTTTCCTTTCTAGTTACAAGTAATAATTTACTTGACCAATCATGAGGACGATAGACTTTCTCACGAATTAAGCTTACATTAATATCTTATACCAGCTGGAAGATTTGGCGTAATCTGACCTTGAAGATTCACTGCCAAGTTACACGCGAGCTTTTCCGGTAGCGTCCTTGAGGTTATCTTGAGATTATTTCGGGGCTTAGCGTCCCCGCGGCCCGGTCCTCGACCAGGCCTCCTTTTTGTTACACATCCCCCCAGGAAGCAGCCTGTAGCAGCTGACTAACTCCCAGGTACCTATTTACTGCTAGGTAACAGGGGGGGGGGCATCAGGGGGAAAAACATTTTGCCCATTTGTCTCCGCCTCCACCGGAGATCGAACCCGGAACCTCAGGACTACGAATCCGAGGCGCTGTCCACCCAGCTGTCAGACGCCCCTCTACTCGGGGCGTCCTGTCATATCTACTCTCAAAGCCAAGGAATCGTCAAGGACTTCTGTCACCACTTAAGACACCTGTATATCTTCCCTCAATCATGAACGCTTAGTGGTTCTTAAGTGGCTCCTTAGTTCCTTAAATATTTTACGTGCTCCAGAACGCTGCCGGGATTATTCTTTGAGTGGGTTCTGCCAGTTCTTCTCCCAGTGATAACTTGGTCCAACAGGCTGTTGCTTGAAACGCCAATCCTCCCCCCAACATATCAGACAATTCCTGCAGTTACTCGACTATTTTTTCTTGAACACCTTGGGTCGTGAACGACCTCGCAGCGTTCCAAGCTCTTAAACTGTTAAATAAATGCAAACAAAGCTCACATAGCTGAGAAATGATGCACAGGTTTCGTAACTGGACACGTAAAAGGTTGATTAAACGTTAACTATGAGGTACCTTGGGAGCCGGTCGGCCGAGCGGACAGCACACTGGAATTGTGATCCTGTGGTCCTGGGTTCGATCCCAGGCGCCGGCGAGAAACAATGGACAAAGTTTCTTTCACCCTATGCCCCTGTTACCTAGCAGTAAAATAGGTACCTGGGTGTTAGTCAGCTGTCACGGGCTGCTTCCTGGGGGTGGAGGCCTGGTCGAGGACCGGACCGCGGGGACACTAAAAAGCCCCGAAATCATCTCAAGATAACCTCAAGATATCCCTCATAAGAATAACACCCTCGGGTTGGGGACTACCTCGTAGCGCTTCAGACCTCGTAAACTGTATAATATATACATACTATGCCGCCGTTATCGCCATACAGACATCGTAAGTGTTCTGCGAGCCATGACCCAGGCCTAAGATAACGTTTCCCAGCTGATAACCTTATCAATGACACTCCTGGTGTGGCCCATGAGGCACTTCCTGCAGGAGCTGTCAACTTCCCCCCTTCAGTACAGGAGCCGTGTACTTCCTTCTTCATGACGTCTTAAAGTCCACAACATTACTCTTATTTACAGGTAAGTGTCGGACGTGTGGACGTGGTGTCTTCACCAGACCGGCTGCACCCTGAGGGCGACCCCAGTATACTACTGTACACTACTGCTGTATACTACTGTATACTACTGTACACTACACTACCCCTGTATACTACTGTATACTACTTTTTTGACAGAGTAAAAGAGACAAATGTATGTGAATGCATGTGTGTGTATATATGTATATGTACGTATACACTTTATACTACTTTATGAAGTGATACTGTACTTCATAAAAGACCAGTATACAAGATGGAGCAATCAGATGGAGTACATGAGTAGTCCCTCAAAGTACTCAGTGACTGAGTACTGTGACTCAGTACGGGGTCACAGTTAGGGAGGTGTGGAGCTGGAGGGTTGTAGCCAGTGAGGTCCCCCAAGGCTCGGCCTGAAGACCACTAAAACTACGATTATGAGAAAGACCAACCCGAGGTAGTGGGCGCCTACACGTCACTGCTGATGAAGCCAAAATGAAAAGGAATGTAACATACGAGGACTGCAAAATAACTAAATAAATATATATATATATATATATATATATATATATATATATATATATATATATATATATATATATATATATATATATATATATATATATATATATGCCTGCTTGATGGGGTTCTGTGAGTTCTTCTACTTCCCAAGCTCGCCCCGAGGCCAGGCTTGACGTGTGAGTTTGGTCCACCATGCTGTTGCTTGGAGCGGTCCACAGGCCCGCTGCCGTTGCCGGACCAACCGGGCTGTGGTGGGTATGTGGGCCTGCGGGCCGCTCCAAGCAACAGCCTGGTGGACCAAACTCTCACAAGTCAAGCCTGGCCTCGGGCCGGGCTTGGGGAGTAGAACTCCCAGAGCCCACATCAACCAGGTATCAACCAGGTATAACGCATCACGTACAACCAACATAGCGGAACTATGCTGCTGTTCGCAGCATGTTTAAATCCTTCCCAATGTCCCAATGTTGAAACTCATAATGAGTTCCTATTTAATTGTTCCACTTTCAACTTATGTTTAAAATAACTGCTATGTAATTAAAGCCTAAATTTAGTGCAATATAAATAAAAAGTTCATCGGTTTGTTGCAGATAATTGATGGGCACAGTTCCGGTTAGAGAAAAACTGTTTGATATTTTTGTATGGCGTCCGGCCCTCAGTGTCAGCATATATCTCCAATACAAACAATATTAAGATATATTCGGAAAATTCACGAGACTCCGTTTGGGATGATCGACGGTCTCGCTTCTTGCATGGTTTGTGTTCGATCCCCAATGGTCCAGGTGGTTGGGCACAACGTCCTCGTTGCCTTCCAAGTGCTATATTCATACTGGCTTAGCGATTTCTCCTGATAATTTGTTTCCACTCCTTCTGGAGCCATACCTGGAGACGGTTCTGGGAGTTCTTCTACTCCCCGAGCCCGGTCTGAGGTCAGACTCGACTTGTGATAACTTGGTCCAACAGGCTGTTGCGTGCAGCACGCCCACACATCCA